ATACATTGCAATTATTTATAATTGCATACGATCTGAATGCACTCTTTAGAAGCTCCCTCTAGTGGATGCCCTAGCGCCAGCAGTGGTGCTGAGCAAGCAATTGCAGGGCTGTGCCTTTTACATTTTAGGTGTTCAGGAAGGTCGACAGAGGTGGGTCCAATGAAGTTCAGCGTTTATCCGATTTTGGCATGTAGGAGACGTGTAAACACAAATTGAACGCGGCTCGACGGAGGCGAGTAGCGCCATTTGCTGAACAGACAGGGTGGAATAATGCGAGCGAGCGAGCGACTTCAGAAGCAGGGGGACCACGGGTTTGAGACGTTAACTACCTCGCCTGGTTATGCAGGAGGTCGTGGGTTGGATCCCGATCTTGACGTCTTTATACTTGGAGTTTTCCTGTCTCTCTCTCTGCCCATGGTCGCATGGATTTTTCTCCGGGTCCTCTGGTTTTCCCCTCCAAATGTATAATCATGCGCTTAGAGTGTTTGGCTGCTAGAGATTTACACGCGATAATCCACTTCGTCGAGCAATTATTTGTGGACAAGTCGCTTCTGGAAAAGAGCTATATCGCTCAGTGGGCCTTGCCTGGTACAATGAAAAAAAATTAACCCGTAAAAACAAAGTTTTTCGCTATAAATCCTTTATATGCGTAGCATCGGGGCGGCTAGAGTCCTCTCGTCCTCTGGCTTGAGATGGCTGCCACCTATGGGTCAGATGATTGTGTGCCAGCATTAACCAATTGGTAAATAAATATTTTTAAAAAATTCCCTAAACAGTGTAAAATTTTGGAAAGTTTTTTTTCACGAAAATTCATTGTCACGCACAACGAGTCTGTGTGCAAAATGTCAGCTCGATTGGATCACGGGAAGTGGGTTTAAAAAACGACCGAAAGATTTGCACGGTCCTAAGCAAGCAAGCAAGCAAACTTAATATAAAGGATTTAATAAGTATAACTCGTAAAAACAAAGTTTTTCACTCTAAATCCTTTATATGCGTGGCGGCTAGAGTCCTCTCGTCCTCTGGCTTGAGATGGCTGCCACCTATGGGTCAGATGATTGTCTGCAGTATTAAACAATTGGTAATTAAATATTTAATTTGTTTTCCCTAAACAGTGTAAAATTTTGGAAATACATTTTCACGAACATTAATTGTCTCGCACAACGAGTCTGTGTGCAAAATGTCAGCTCGATTGGATCACGGGAAGTGGGTTAAAAACGACCAAAAGGTTTGTACTGTCGTAAGCAAGCAAGCAAGCACGCAAGCACGCAAGCAAGCGAACTTAATATAAAGGATTAAAAAATAGCACATATCATCGAGGCATCAATGAGAGTGGCAAGGAGGAGGATGAAACAGCCCGAGTAAGAGAGGCAAATAGAGCTTAAATGATCAAAACAGCAACAGCTGTTAATGCATGTTAATTAATAATCACTTTTGCAGGGCGTCCATAAAGGAAGTATCCTCTTTTCCGAGAGCAGTTTGCAACCGTGCGGTTGAATTTTGATTTAAAGCTTTCGTGACTGCAGGGATTCATCTTCTTGGTTCTTTCGGTAAAGTCACGTAGAAGGGAAGTAATAAAATAATAAAAATAAAACATAATAAAATTATTCTCACGACGTTTCGGCCACAACGCAAGCAGCCGTCCTCAGGTGAAAACCAGGTCCGTCGAGGCGACAGAGTCAGACCAGGTCCGTCGAGGCGACAGAGTCTGACTCTGTCGCCTCGACGGACCTGGTTTTCACCTGAGGACGGCTGCTTGCGTTGTGGCCGAAACGTCGTGAGAATAATTTTATTATGTTTTATTTTTATTATTTTATTACTTCCCTTCTACGTGACTTTACCGAAAGAACCAAGAAGACGTGCGGTTGAAATCTGGGCTGCGTTATGGGAAAGATTAAGTTTATTCTTAAAAAAACACACAAACAAGGATATTGAGTGATCCTCAACAGCGGATAATCGCAGCAGCGCTCGAACCAAACGTGAGACGGCAAATACCGAGTGAAACCTCGAGAGATGAAAGTGTGTCGCCAATTTGCTACGGTTCAGAGAAATTAAGCTCATACGATACAATCTTTACAATACCGCCAGACGCTTTGTTTGTATGTGTAGAATTATATTGACCTTGCTCAAATTGCTTATTACAAATCATTAATAATTGACGATGCCTTTATGGGTTACAGCTATATGTTATTGCCTGCCTGGAAATGGGTGCTGGCGGTTGGCTGATTAAAGATGTCACTGCCCTGCTCTTTAGACAGCAGACCGACTTTTTTCTGGTGTCACGGTCAAATTAACAGTCGGCCAGTGAGCAATTTATATTGGCAATTTATAGCAGCTCCTATATCAGCTTCAACCCCCACCTCCCACCACCACAATTATCTAAAAAGGTATTTTTTGGCGCTACTGGCCCTTTTGACAACTGGGACCGGCACATAATGTGTGCAACATCGATATGAAACAATCGCTCCTTGAGATTCAGATGTGTTTTGCCTACACCCTGCCCAACATTGAGTGGGGCATTTGAAAAATGCGAAAATGTTATGCACATCCACTGCTGGATGAGGGCCTCTCCACACCGTACGGGCGTTTACTTGATCACAGTTCACCGCGCTGAGCAGTGCGTCTTGGTGACGACGCAGCGCAAAGTAGCATGTGCAGGTACCATGGAGTCTTTTTCTGCGCTACTCTCTGCTGCAAACGACAGAGGCCCACAGCAGCCTACAACAGCTGTTTTATGCATGGCTCTCACCCATCCAAGTACAACCAATACTCAAATTATCTCCCTGCTCAGCGTAAGAGGCGCCAATTAGCGTGGTGTTAACATCGCATTTTAATCGGCAAACCCAGATATAAAATGCGGATATAACCACGAGTCAACTACGACCGAGTTTAATGAAATGCGCCGTACACGTGAGCACGGTGCCTCTGCGCAAGGCAATGAGGAGGACGCTTCGCGATGGCACGGATCTCATTGGTTGTTTGACTTGCATCCCACTGGGATTGTTGCACACAGCGTTGGTGTCCGGTGATTTTTTTTTTCTGCAATATTTTGCTGTCTTTTCTTGGATTTTCTGTTTGCGCTTAGTCACATATTCACTTCAAGATGTTTTTTGTTCATGTTTTTGTTTTTTGTTTGTTGCGGTAGCACCCGATTCAAGAGCCGAATGGCTCACAGGGCTATACCTAATAAATGAACTTGAACTTGACTCTCGGACTTTTGACCGCCACGCGCAAACATTTGGTTGGCGTGGGGCTCACGGGGCTTCGTGGGACGGTCGACAGAGCGCAGTGCAGCGAAAGCCATTGTTGGGCTGTCACCTCCTACGCCTGTGCCCCCTCCGCCTTCTACAACTCGCATCGGCCAGCTTTGTGAAGTGCGCTCTCAGCTAGCACCCCCGCGGCACGCACGGCGTGGGGCAGAGGTCGCAACCGGGTACCTGATACCCGTACCCTACCCGATACCCGGCTACACGTACCCGGCCGGGTACGGGTACCCGTTTGCGACCCTGGTGCGGCCGGGTACGGGTACGGGTAGGCCGTGAGTTACTGGTGAGTAACTGTTTGTCACTCATTTCGGGTAGGGTACGGGTACGGGTAGGGAACGGCTAGCCGTACCCGGCCGGGTACGGGTACGGATACCCATTTGCGACCCTGGTGCGGCCGGGTACGGGTAAGGAATCAAAACCCGTTTGCGACCTCTGGCGTGGGGAGGCACTCATCCAGCAGTGGATTGACAGTGAGCTGTGACGTGTGCGCGGCAATGGCACGCGTCTTCGCTTGGCCTCGGTCACTCGGCTGCCTGAGCACGGGGCGCGATTGCATTCAAACTCACGAGGCGCCACCCGGCACTGCGCACGGTGCCCATGCCACTCAGGGTTCTCATTTCCACTCTAGGATAGGCAAGGGGATTAGTCACACAAACAAATCTGTCTCCCCAACCTTCCCAGGTGCTCTATAATCTGATCTCAAACAGTTCTCAACCTGCCAGCTCTCGACCTGCCAGTCTCGCTAATATACTGGTGAGATAAAAAAAATTGTACTTTTATTTGTAAAAATGTTTTATTGATTTGTTTACCATTCATATACTTTGCACTCCTATTGTGTTGTTGTATTGTTTCTTGTTGTAACGTTCTCACCTGGTGGACATCTGTGAAACAGAGCTTAATAGCTCATCGGATTCCTCCAGTAACATATTCCTGCGGAGGGAGTTGGTAGGAACGTTGGGTTGCTCGGTCAATGGCCAGGGTCAATGGCGGCGTGGTGTATTCCGCAAATATGCCCGACTGTGAGGACGACCACAAGCCGGCGTGAGTTGGTTAAACGTTGAGTTTTATAAGGGCACCATGGGGTGACCAGCCCCCCCCACCCAGCCCCACCCCTCCCACCCCCCACCCAGCCCCTCCCCACCCAGCCCCACCCTCCCCACCCAGCCCAGCCCCTCCCCACCCTCCCCACCCAGCCCCTCCCTCCCCACCCAGCCCCTCCCTGCACGACGGACGGACACAATAATCCCCTGTGGGCTGGTGTAACCAGGAGGTTCCTACCAGTATAAATACATATTCTGATGCTGATACTTAATGTACACTCGAGTATGTCAGATGCTGTGCTTTCTGACCAGTCGTTGATCCAGTAGTGGATTGACAAAGGGGCCGTGTATGTTTGAACAAATATCCCCCCAATAACCTTAACAGACTGTTGGGGAAAGTTATGTTCGCGAACACCTATGAAGGCCGGCACAGCCCACAAAGGGGTGGGTGGCCAACACCACGCCCGGCCGCCTTTGTCTCCCTATAGTGACAATATTTACACATCGCACTAGGCATTCATTTGAGGCTGAGTCGACCTAGGCGAGGCCCACGACCGGTTCAGATATTCGTCACTGGTGTTGTATGTATATACTCACGTACACAAACAACCCTATTAACGGAAGTAAGCGGAGGACTCGGAGCAGTAAATTTAAGTGAGCAACTTCGATGCCAGTGCAGGGCGTGCGATGACTTAAATTCAGTGCAAATTATGTTTATTAGAAACACCAATTGTTACATCACTCTCAACACTTAAGAAAATTGGCATACTCGTAATAAACTTTACATGACAACAATTACCATAGATAATCTTTTTTGTCATAATGAGTTATATGCTACGCCTTTCCAAAACACTGGCCCATAATCGAGAATAAATAACTAAGTTGCTTTTTTTGTCGTCGATACAATACATGATGAATAAACCATCACCAAACACGAGTCGGCAATCAAGAGGCTAAGTATGTCAGTAAACCGTGATGCAAATACAAGATGCATTTAATGCGACATTAAACACAATTTAAGTGCCTTTTATCATCATCATCACTGTTTACTCTTCACAATATCGTCACCATCAACACCATCACCATCGTCATCACTTCTCACGCCATCGTCACTGTCATTGTCCTCATTTAATATACATCCTGAATTATAGCACGACAGTCCGAAGTAGCTGAGAGAAATACCATGACCGATCATAACGTGATTGTACCAGTGCATAAAGGGTTAGGGTAAATCAAGCTGTAAACCACAATTCTTCTTACCGATTGGTTCAGCGTAAAGCCATTGTCAGCATAAAATCCATTGTCCTTAGCAACGGGGCAATGCTAATACATCTGGGAAGTCCCTTAAAATATTTGTTCCAGTAATTGAATAAACACTGCTAAAATATATATATACTATACTTTATTACACTTCCAACTGTGACATTCCAAAGGTCAAAACTTCGATCGAAAATATTTAAAAGTTTTAACTATAACACGAAAATACTGAAAACGTATTAAAACATAAACTAAATGAAAACATTCCGCTCACTGGAATTTTTGTTTGTCCATTTTGAGCAGCATATACTCTTTATATATACTATAATTTTTAAAACTTTGCGCGTCCATCATTCATTTGGGTTCGGCAACTTAATTATATTCGGGTTCATTATTCACAGAACCCTAACGCATTCTATAAACCCATCTTTTGGCTTGGACCTGAATGGGGGAATCCTGAATCAAATGTACAATGTTAAATAAACTTGAATTACAAATCATAGTCGGCGAGCGGGTGTGTGGATGAAGTGGTTTGGGGTCGTAGTGGCGGAGCGAGAGTGGAAGATTCCGGAAGCAGGCGGCGGACCCACAACAGTAGAGCCTCCCCCTCGTGGCTAAACTACTCACAGCCGTGCGCGTCTCTTACAAACACGTTTGTTCATTTCAGTTTTTTTTAGCGTTATCGAAAATCGTATTCAAGATCGTTAACAAGTAATCGTCTTTGCCCCACATTTCGGATTGCCTCACAATAAAAGTCCAACCCTGTGCATGCGTGCGTGTCTCCGTGTCTGTTCAAATGAACCAGGAGGTGACCGATGAACCCTGCCCACCGAGCACGTTGGAACGCGCCACGCGGTTTGAAAATTCGCTCGCGAGGCTGTCGGTTCGATCGTTAACTAAAACTGAACTGGATTCCGATCATCGACACCACGATTTTGGCAAATTGATCATAGATTTAGCGAAAACTACAATTGAACAAAATGATAATCGATTAAAAACCCTGCTAATACAAAAGCCACACGGACGAGATGAGGTTTTTTTTTTAACGTCTGCAGAAAGATTTCAGCGCTCAGCAACCGCAGGTGCGAAACGTTTTCTTTCCTTTCAATGGAAATGTCTCTTCGTGACGAGTGCTGGGCACATTGGCGAATTAAGCCCGGTGAATAGGCATTCTGCACGTGTGCAAATGCACGCTGGAGGAATTACACCTTGCCATTTGTAAGTTGACGAACATTTTGGTGCTGATGGGTGTGAATCCAATGCTGGCCGAGGGCCACTTTAGTGCGGGCAGATTTCCGTCTTGGCGGACCGAAATGGGGGAAGAAAACAAGACACCTCGAGCGATGCAGCGCAGCCTCGAACGGCCCTCCGCCAACAATTGAGATGTCGCGCCCGGCATCTTTAAAAAGTGTGAGTTAAAATTAGCGACTGTTTTATGGTAAATATGGAAGTTTTTCTTAAACGTTGTGTGGGCTGGACTAGATTTTCAGCAATTGTTGTGGAGCGATGCTGCAATTGCAGGGTATATAATTATTATCATTATCATTATTTGCGCATGGTTAACACAGCACAAAAGGAATTCCCTTACACAAACCAAAAAAGATTGAGGTTTCCATACCCAGGGCTTAATTTCTCACTGAATTCCGTCCGGGTCGCAGGTAGACTGGAGTTGGAGGCACGTGACTAGCAGCCACAGCCATAGTAAGGAGGGTATACTGCATGCGGTGTGCTGGGTACGAAAAAAAAAATCCGGATCAATGACCCAGACAGACCCAGCTAAATTAAGCCCTGTCCCACACCTCCAATTACCACTTTGAAGAAAAGATGTTTGCGGGAAAATGTTCTGTAAGCGCGTGGCCCCTAGGAATTCCAAGGCTGTGAGAAGCAGCACACATAGGGAGGTTTTTTTTTTTTAAGTGCTGGTGGTGGTGGCAATGGATGGTGCTGTTAGTGATGTTGCTGGTGGCGCTGGTTCTGCTGCAGCTGCAACTGGGGGTGGCAGCGATGGGTAGGGGAACAACGGAGGAGGGGACGACTTTGATGAAGCAACGGGGCCCGCTCTTCGTCGCGATCGGTGTACATCTGCCACTGCCGCAGTAACAGCGCCGGCGGCGCGCTCACACGTCCGAGCTGACGGACGTGGGGCGCGTACGGTGCTGCTGCTGCTGGTGGTGCGGGTGCATCCTCTGGAACTGCTGCTGCTGGTGAGGACGCCGGCGGTCGGCGAAGTGCCTCTGGATGTTCATGGTGACCTCCCTGTGGAGGTCAGGGGCGTCTCCAGAGCCGCCGCCTGTCACCCACGGGTGGTGCAGTGCCTGGCGCGCCGTGAAGCGCCGCTTGGTGTCGACCACCAGCATCCGGCTCACCAGGTCCTTGGCAGCTAAGAGCCAAGAGGAGGATGGAGGAGGAGGAGGAGACGGGGGGACCGACGAGAAGGAGGAAGTGCAGGAGGAGGAAGGGGGGGAAAGGGGGATGAAGGGAAGGAACAGGAATGCGGAGAAGGAGGAGGAGGGAGGACAGGATAGGGAGGAGGGAGGATGCAGGGTTGGAGGAAGAGGAGCACAAGGATTGGGGAGGAGGAATTGAAAAAGGAGGAAGGATTGAATAATTTACAGTATACATACAATCTTCCTGTCAATCCACTGCTGGATGAAGGCTGCTACCATACATCTGACTGCACAATTACATTAAAAAGGTAATTTATGTCGATACTGGGCCATGAGATGTACAAGTGGTATGATGACTCGAAAGTAAAATGCTCCTTTAAAAATCAGATGTGTTTTTCTGACACCCTTCCCACTATCGTGTGGGGCATTTCGAAAAATGCAAGCTGGTCTGAACATGTACCGCTCTTCCGTCAAAATGCTGTGCGGGTCGCGGGGGTTGTTTGACCATACTTCACCACGCTGGTCAGTGCGTGTTGGTGAAAGCGCCAGATTTTGAAGTCAACGCATCGTGGACTACAACAATGGATTTTTGTGCAGTCCTCTGTTGTGGCAAAATGGCCTCAACTCGTCCCAAGAAATATACCATTGCAGTAAAACACCATGAAATAATAATGATGATGATGTGAGTGGGAGAGTGATATTCTACACATGGCGAAACGATCACGTTATCTTCCTCTTTGGATCTCACAACTGAAGTGTGGAAACGTTCCAGGGGAAGTCGGCTTCATGGCACGTGACTCGCGGGAGGTGGAGTGATTCATGAATTGCCGCGATTTAATGCGAACATTTTGATGCAAGAATCGATTTTAGTTCCTGTTGTTGTTGTTGTTGTTTTTGTTTCATGAAGAGGTGAATGGCCGAGGCCGTCTCCGGCGATTGCTGCAGAGGTGGCGCGGAGCCGCCGCGCACGGCATAAAGATCCTAGCTTACGCGTGCGATTCGATGTACGCACCCTGCGAGTTTAAGAATCGACAGTAATTGATGACGTTCGTTTACCTTGTTGCACCCCCGAGCAGGTGCCGGTGGTGTATTTGTAAACAGTGTGCATTAAATCTTGACTTTAAGCATTCGTGACTGCAGTAATTCATATTCTTTGGGTCTTTCGGTAAAGTAACGTAGATAGGTTCAAATTAATAAAAATCACAACACAAGCGATCGTCCTCCCGATGACGATCGCTTGTGTTGTGATCGAAACATCGTAGTTTTTTGTTTATTTTATATTTACTATTTGTATACATTTAAACCTATCTTCGTGACTTTACCGAAAGACCCAAAGAATACAGTGTGCATTAAGTTCACGAAACAGAATGATGCACGTTTCACTGAGAGAGTAAACAATGTGATGGGGATATTTCTCAATTATTTTAATGGGTAAAGGTGCAGCTCTGCAATGTCCTTGCTCGTTGCGCCGCCAGCAGAAGGGCCTCCACACAAAAGGGAAACTGTGGAGAGCCCCTCCTGATGATATTTTGGCCTACTGTTCAACGCTGGCCAGGCTATTTGGTAGAGGTCAGAGTATCCCCACTTCACTCCACACAACATGACCTGCCCATCGACGACCACTTAGGATGTTGTCCTTCCCGCGTACTTGCGATAAGCACGGTTGGCTATGCACGGTGCAAAAGAAGTTCAATATACATACACTGTCATTTATCTATTTATTCAGGAAGTCCTCATCAAGACTTGACGCTCTTTTTCAGAAGGATCCTGCACTGGGATGTTTGACCAATTTCTGTTATATATTTTTTTGCACGTGGGAGAAAATGTGACTAACATCCACACACACAGGGCCACTCACATTCCCACACAGATGGTTCACAAATCCACTTGCTGTGGTGCTATCTTCTGGCCACATCGCAGGCCTGGCAGGATGGAGAATCTCAGAGAACTGCCTGATCCACCAACGCTTGCCTCCAAAGTGCTGAATCACAGGCGTCGTTCGCTACCATTCCCTGATCAGTAGACACCACGGCACAGGGCTGGGAATCCTGCAGCCCATGGGCCAGATGCGCTCTGCGACTTCATATCATGCAGCCCCCCATGGCCACATGAGGCCTACCGCTTCTAAACATCCCACAAACGATATTTATCCATCACTGCAAGCGTCTTAGCCGCACCAATCGGATACTTATTTAAGTCTTGGTAACAACGATGCATTCCCAAGCGTAGTCGCCTTTCGCCATTCAAGAAGTTCAAAGCAAATGGTCAATGGATGCGGTCCAAGTGCCAAGGCTCTTTGAGAGTGCTCCTCGGTGGTCAGCAAGGAAGAGGTTTTCCCACACCGAGCCCCTAAAAAAATACTCCGCGTTAGCATCACACCTTGACGATGTAAGACGAGATGCTTGTGGGCATCTGCAATTAGTTTGTCTCTGCGAGCATCGATCGGCGATGCTGGCGATGCCATCGCGTTAAGGCTCAGGGCATGAACAGCTGACCAAGCGTTCTGAGTGTCTGGGTCTCCCCCCCCACCTCGCTAACGGAGTGAGTTACGACGTCACATTCCGACAGGCATGCATTCCGCATTGACCACATCGGCCATCCTCCATTCTCTCCGAGTCTGACATCGCTGTGTGATCCACCAGCGCGTCTTCAAAGCGCCAGTTATCACAGTTGTGTGCCGCCATGCCCACCTCATTGCAGGCACCATCGCACAGGGGGGCGAGGAACCTCGAAGGCTACAGCCCTCGGCGCGGAGCTCTGCCACACGGCGCATTTAATGAAACTCCCTCAATCTCACGTGAAATATGTGCAAGAGATGCGTGCGTGTGTTCCGGTAAGGAACGATCTGCATTGGTATGTTACCTTGGAGGCATTTGGAGTGCTAGTCTGCATGGGCATGGTTTTGGAAGAAATATACAACATATATCAATTACATTCAATCTCCTGTTCTGTAAGCACGTGAGAGGGAAGAGAAACAGAGTATACAGCAGGCGTTTATGACAATTTAAAAAAGGGTTAGAATGTGAAACCTTCGAACAAATCGCCCGGAATGCGCCTGGTTTTTTGACAGATTTCAAAAGCTAATCAGGAATTTTGAGCGGGCTCGTGTTTGGATGGGCGATCACCGTACGTAAAATAAGTGTGCTGTAGGCTGCTGCTACGGGGCTGCATTGTCAGCAGAGGGCACTGCAGAAAATCCATTATTGGACTGTACTATGCTCCAATGTCTTATGCTCCCCACCTTCAACCCATAACGACCAGCGTGGCGAAGAACGCTCAGATAACCCCCATGTCCCGCATGGTGTTGGGAGACATGATGTTGATAACAGGACTGTACATAATAGCTTCACATTTTCCAAAAATTTCCACTCAAGCGTGGACAGGTTATGATCAAAATGCATTATGTTTTAAAGGAGCAGCTCTGCCTATTATATAATGTGTATACCTCACGTCCATCCCATGATCCATTATCGCCACAAATTACCTGTTACAGAAAAATACACATCCGTGAAGACGTCCACGTAGAATGTCAACACAAAGAAAAGCCCAAATGGTGTGACTAGTCAGAGACACAGGCACGCACACGCACGCGCACGCACGAGGCCAACACTCACCCTCGGAGATGTGGTCCCAGTACGGAGACAAGAACGAGAACTCCCCGAGCTGGATGGTGTCGAAGAGCTCCTCCTGGTCTCGCTCCAGGCTTCGGAATGGCGGGAAGCCGCACAGCAAGATGTAGGTGATGACACCTGTCGCCCACATGTCCACCTCCAGCCCGTAGCCTGACCGCACAGTGGTGGAGACAGGGAAGGAGGGAGAGAGGGGTGGGGAGGAAGGGAGGTAGGGAGGGGAGCGAGGGTTAAGCACACAAGCCGCTCATGGATTTACCTTTCCCACTGTTCACCCTATCCATGTTATGGCTGTGCAGAGCCAGATTGGCGCAGCTCAGGGCACAGTGGAGCTAACTAATCGATGCCAACTACCTCGCCTGGTATACAAGAGGTCGTGGGTTCGATTCCCGACCCTGACGCCTGTATATTTGGGGTTTGCATGTTCTCTCCATGGTCGTGTGGATTTTTTCTCCGGGTCCTCTGGTGTTTCCCTCCACATTTAGATATATCTGTGTTTTAGAGTATTTGTCTGCTGTACATTTCCACATGATATAACACTTAGTTGAGCTCTCATTTGTGGCCAGGTCGCTTCTGAAAATAAAAAGTTGAGTTTAGTTTAGCTTTTCCACTGTAGAAGCCGAGCCTTTCCGAATAAGCTAATCGTGACACATGTCTCCACACGGTGTACCGAATTACGTCATACGCAATCAATGCATCACGAGCCCCGCACCTGGCCCTGCTTGGCCCCGAGCCAGATGCACATTTTTCTTGGGAGGCCAGCCTTTCCCGGGTTGGCTCTGGATTGGCACTTAAAATAACCAGTGGAAAACCAGCAGTACCGTGAGGGCCCTAAGCTGGCTTGGCTCAGATGTGTCAGTGAGAAATGGGTAGTTGAGGTGTCAACAAACTCTGACTCACCTTTACAACTACAGTTGGCACGTGCACGTGATATAAACCAAGTAATTGCCTACAACCAGGGCTTTATTTCAACTGGGTCTGTTCAGCTCGGTAACCCAAAGAATATATTTTTCGCACCCAGCACACCACATCCAATATAGCATGCATATGACCAATTCATCCTGAATGCCCCCGATCGTAACATCATATCCTGGAATTTAAGCGAAGTTGGAGCCTGCTCATTACTGGAATGGGGGACTGCTTCAGAGAACGAGGCTTTTGTTGGCTTGGGATACGATGCGGTCTGGGAATGGCAGCACTGAAACGGATTCTGTGTGGAGCTCTGTGTGTTACTTCCTAGTTAACCCTTCGTACTCTGGTTTCCTCCCACAAGCAAAACACTCAAAGATGGAATTGGGCAAACATTTCAAAACCGGGTGCTCTGCTGAAAAAAAAAGACTTGGGGCTTTCCTGGGTACATGTATCATTATTAATTATAAATTCATCATTTTCATTGCAGAGGCAATTTGTCTCGGTTAAATTCATCATGAGACCAGTGCTTTTGATGCCGCTGCATATTGCCATTGCTTCTTTTATTACACCGGATAATCCAGTCCAAATTCAACCTCCAAAGCAAGATGCAATAATGCACCAGTGTTGAGTTGTCATCAAAATGGCTGCGGTTATGAATACGACGCCACTGCCATGCATTCCCATTATTCAATTAACCCATCCGCGCGCGTTAGCCGAGATTGAAAACCCCAATGCGGTAGATGTCCCCCCCCCCCCCCCCCCCCAGAAACAGCCGCTGGTTAACAGAATGAATGCCGTGGAAAACTGCTGGAAGGGTGGCTCATAGGTTTGCTGCGAAGGAGGCTGCATGCATGGACTCCTGGCGGATGAATCCGTGGCTCCACAGGGGGCTCACAACAGCTAACGACGGCATCGGCAACCGCGCTCACCACGAGCACGACATTCACTCTCGGGTGTTGAAGTTTTCTGGGACGAGCACTTAAAACTGGACACGATAAAATCCACGTCATGAGCAGTCAACTCTGGCGTGTGAACAATTTCGCTTTCAACACCCCTTGCTCTACCACTGGAAGCATCACCTCCGTAGGGGTGAGTGGGGAGGTTGGAGTTGGAGAATTGAAAATCTCACCCTATGATTTTCCCTATTATGTTTATGTCATTTGCTTTTGTTATGATTATTCGGGGTGGTTTCAAAAGCAATTGTTCAGGTCATTCTGTGCCTGTGAGCATGTGACATTCTGCAGCTGTGTACAGAAGCGTGCGTGCGATGAGCTGGCATGTGTATGTGTGAGACGGAATGTATTCGTGTGTCTGCATGTCTTTGGGGAGCAGTGGCACAGTTGGTAGTGCACTGCACTACGATCCCAGCGCCCTAAGTTCGATTCCCGCTCACAACCAATTCTGTTCTATTTAGGAATGATATAGCACCCTTTCCAGGTCGATTTACAATGCAAAACGACGGGGGTACACAAAGACACAAAGGGGCAAAAGGCGAGCAACAGGTGGGGTGGAGCGGCTGTCAGCGAGGGAGGTGATGGAAGGGATGGAGGGACAGGGGCTGGGAATGGAGCTGCTGATGTTGCAGGGGTAGGGAAGGAGGAATACGGTGCAGTGTGATGGTGAATGAGGGTGACAGACGGGTGCAACATGGATGAGAGGCAGCGGGGTGTGGGGCACATGCGTGAAGTGGTAAGATAGATAGGTGCTGTGGCCGGGCATGGATGAAGGTAGGTGAAGGGTGGTAGTGGCAGAGGTCTGGTGGCCGGATAGCTGAGCTGATTGTGGAGCACAGCAGAGGGCTGGCGGAGAGATGCGGTTAGGTGCACTTAGACGTGGCAGCCGGGTCAGGAATTAGGGTCGTAGGAAGAAGAGGACCGGGGGACTGCGAGTGGGTTAGAGACGTGGGAAGGAACCGGTCGGGGTGGAGGCAGTGGAAGAGAAAAAGCAACAGAGAAGAGAAAGGAAGCGAGGGTGAGAGTCCCACGTGGAGAGGGAGTTCGTTCCGATGCAACAGGGGCAAGAAGAGAGGAGGAACGGAAGCGAGACTGGGCACAAGGAGGTGAAGAGGAACAGTGAGAAAAAGTGAATGTTGAGACTGGAGGGGTCTCGATTTAAAGCTTTCGTGACTGCAGGGATTCATCTTCTTGGTTCTTTCGGTAAAGTCACGTAGAAGGGAAGTAATAAAATAATAAAAATAAAACATAATAAAACAATTTTCACGACGTTTCGGCCACAACGCAAGCAGCCGTGCTCAGGTGAAAACCAGGTCTGTCGTGGCGACAGCGTCTGAATGTTTTATTTGTATTATTTTATTACTTCCCTTCTACGTGACTTTACCTAAAGAACCAAGAAGATGAATCCCTGCAGTCACGAAAGCTTTAAATCGAAAGGAGAAAGATGTTGATTGGGCACATTCTCAGAGGTGAGAGCTTGGTAAAGAAATTCCTGCAAGGCAGGCTTTTGGGAAATAGGCCAAGAGGCATACAAAAAAAAAAGATGACGCTTTATCACTTGAAGGAATCGAGGCTTTACCGTGAAATGAAGAAAAAAAACACACCTCGTAACTGGTGTGGGCCAAACATCTCAATGTTGAAAATTTAACTGCAAAATGACTCTATGGCTACTCTTAGTTCTTTCGGTAAAGTCACGTAGGTAAAAAATTATAGGTGAAATTCCTCCCCGTAGAGCAGCGGTCGGGAACCTATGGCTCGCGAGCCATATATGGCTCTTCCAGTGACGGCATATGGCTCGCAGACAATTTTGAGTTGAAAAAAAAAATCAGTTTGGAACTGATTTTAAAATACTTTTGATATTGCTTAATAATACCGTGTCGTTTTAAAGTAAACAGAAATTAGTTTTGAAGATAAATTTCACGGGTCACGGGGCCTCAACGCCTGCACGAAGCTCAACCTCACCACGTACGAACCAGACTACAAGGCCATCAGCAAAACCACGCAGCACCAGAAGTCGCATTAAAAGTAAGACATTTTAATTTATTATACGTTAAAAATTACTATATGGCTCTCAATGAAATATATTTAGAAATATTTTGCTTTTATGGCTCTCCCAGTCAAAAAGGTTCCCGACCCCTGCCGTAGAGGGTATCAAATCTAGAATTACCGAAAGAACCAAGAAGACTGGAGGGGTCGTGAAGGGACGTATAAATAAATGGGAGAAGTAACGTAGGGGGTGGGCGAGACAGTGCAAAGCTTTGAATAACGGGTGAGGAATTTAAAAAGACGGCGGTGATCGACAGGAAGCCAGTGGAGTTGTTGAAGGAGAGGAGAGCAGTGAGACGTGTACGGAAGTTTAATCTTGATTTGAGGCTTTCGTGGCTGCAGGAATCCATACTCTTTGGTTCTTTCGGTTTAATTCACGTAGATAGAAGATTAAAATGTATTTCACCTGATGACGATCGCTTGATGTGGCGATCGAAACGTCGTGATCTATTATTTGTATTTCATTTTTATTTTCTACCTACGTGACTTTACCGAAAGAACCAAAGAGTATGTGTATGGAAGGTTGGGCAGAGTGGCAAATATTCGATTAGGGCCTGGGTCTCCGCTGGTGCGATGCGTTTAAACACGAGCGTTGAGGAGGCAAAGGCGGGCAGATATGGTGATGGCCACCCACCTCCCTCGTGTGCCAGCCTTCACAGGTACTCGCTAACTGTTAAAGGCTCTGTCATTGTGCAAGTCGTCATGTGTGTATGTAGGGAAATGGGAAAATAGCGGTTAGCATGCTGCGCTACGAACCCAGCGACCCGAGTTCACTTTCTCCTCACGGCCACCACCACCGGTGACGATGATCTGAACCGGTCATGGGCCTCCCCTAGGTCGACTCAGCCTCAAACGAGTACCTGGTGCGGTGTGTAAAAACATCGCCACTGAGGCGACAAAGCCGGACCAGGAGTGGTGCTGGCAACCCACCCCCTCGCGCGCCACACCGGCCTTCACAGGTGCTCTCTAACAGCACTTGCCCCTACAGTCTGTCACAGGCTACACGGGGGATCTTTGTCTTTGTGTGCGTAGGAGCATGAGTACCTGTCTCGGCCAGGATTTCCGGCGCCACGTACGTCGGTGTCCCGCACACAGTGTAGATGGGGCCCCTCACCTCCATCGCCAACCCAAAGTCGCCCAGCTTCAGCATGGTGCTGCCATCCAGCTTGCGCTGCATCTGCAAAGACAACAAAAACATTCCCCGTGGAGCCTTGACGGCACTTGGGGGCAAGTGCTGTTCGCGAGTGGCACCTATGAAGCAGGGGCGGTTTCTTCATTAGGGCGATTGGGCGACGCACCACCAATGTCATTCAACCACAGAGTCACGCTAGCCGTCACTGTGCCTCTGGATATAGTCCAATCAGCGTCATGTCACGTTCTGTGGAGTACCGCCTCTTTTTGGGCGATTTCACTCCGGCTGAGAATCGCCCCGAGTGGCCCCATAGACTTACATTCAAAGATGTTTTTTTCGACCGGGGGGCGCTGCAATGCATTCTCTATGGCTTCCGGGAGGGCTCGCCCTAACGTGCTAACGTCATCATACGTAAGCACGTTTCATCCAACAATATAATTTGTCGCCACCTAGTGGAATCTTTAATAAAAGAAACTTGAGTGGATTGTATTAATAGTGAGTATAGAAACAAACAAGATGTATTGTAAGAGTCACTTTATTTTTCATTAATATTAAAGAAGTGAAGTTTCCTTTACATGCTTAAGCTGTTAATTTATCCATTGCATGGGTGGACCTTATCCTTATCAATCATCCAGACATTTGCCCCCCCTGAGAGATTTTGCAGGAGCCGCCACTGCTATGAAGGCCGACACAAGGCACCCGAGGGGGTGGATGGCCAGCACCAAGCCCGGCTGCCTTTGTCTCCCCGGGTTGCGATATTTACACATCGCACCAGGTATTCATTTGAGGCTGAGTCGACCTAAGAGAGGCCCAGGACCAATTCAGATATTCGTCACTTGATATTGGTGGCCGTGAGCGGGAATCGAACTCGGATGGCCGGGTTCGTAGTGCAGTGCGCTAGCCACTGCATCTGCACACACACACACGCACAGGTCACATTTGCAGCGAGTGTCTCTCTAAAATAAACACTCGTCCGTTTCCCAACGACATTTCAATTGTGCCATTCGCCTTCATGTCACGAGATGAAACTTCTATTGGGGAACTCTCGCAGAGACGTGCATCGCTCCGCGTGACAAAATGGCCTGCAGAGCGAGATAACACAGAACAGCTTCTGAGATCCCTTCACGTGGCATCTTATTTTATCCGTCACAGGGGGCGCTAAACTTTCCCTCGTGCCCTCCTTCAGAGATATATAGTTTTTTGACCCCTCACATTAACATAACCTTCTCCGCCCTACATGCGGAGTCCCACCATTTTGAATCCCTCACGTTAACATAAGCTCCTCCGCCCATGCTGCTGACACTTGGGCTACGCCCATTTTAAACCTTTATAAACAGTTTGCCTTTAGAGGCTAACCCCTCTTTTTTCTCCACCTGATGACGACCGCTTGTGTTGCGATCGAAACGGCGTAGTTTTTATTTTTATGAACCTATCTACGTGACTTTACCGAAAGACCCAAAGAATATTAATTGCAATCTAGTCAAGATTTTATTCATATACATTTACCGGAAAACTCTTGCCCAACGTGGATTTATGAAACGCGTGTTTCGGCTCCACATGGTTTGACGCTGAAAAGTATTTCTGCATCCATTGGAAGGTGTGAACGAAGCGACTGTGAGAACAATTTATCTCACCTGGTATGTTTTTGTGTCTTTTTTGCGTGATAATGTGAACACACTCAACACGCCGAAGCACAACAGAACGCCGCAAATGTTCACACATTGCCGCATGCATGTAGCCGTCCACTCGTGGAGGCCTGACAGTGAGACGGACGTCTACATGGCGAACCATTAACGTTCAAGTGACAGCGTCAGCGGCGAATGTTGGGCTGATCATTCGGTGTTAGGGGGCGAGCGTTGGTCGCGAGCGCCCCGGCATGGGAAGAGTAATGGAGACGGGGGGGTCTTGCGTTGAGGTGAAATTGAAAACTAAATAGAGTGTACACACAAGAGATGGAGAACCACTCAGAATCCTCTAGTACAATAACACGGGTGGAAATTATGTTGAATTAATTCAATAAACGCAGACGGTGTGAACATTTAGATCCCACTAACGCAACCATATTTTTCCGGTGTCATTTGTCGAACGGCATTTTCCAGGAATGTAACTCCCCCCCCATCTGGCGAGGTCTGTGCCTGTAATCTCAGGAATTAAATGTAGCCAAAGTGAGTGGAAAACCCAAATGTAACATGTTTTTTTTCTTTGCACGATCATTGATGACTGAGCTAAGGCCATCAACCCACACACACTCAGAATCCAGTTTAATGACAGGTGGCCAGAACAGAGATTCCAAAGCAGGTTATTAAGAGTAGTGGCTCAATGCTCTCATCCATCTCCAAGCCAATTCATTGAAATAACAGCCAACATCATCATTGAAGGGCTTGTCTGACACCATGTGAGAGCCCACCGACATTCGCGATATATAATTTTAAAGAAGGCATTTTTTTCATTAATTTGGGAAGGAGCCATTTATAAATTGTGGGGGTTCTAATTCCAACACGCACTGTCTTGTGATTCATAATGATGCCTCTTCGGTAACCCCCTTTATAAATTGTACGGATATTTGGAGAATGGGGCTCTCATCACGTCCACTCAGAACGGGTCCGGTGTCTCATGCGCCGAGAACTAAGTTCCCGGCGGCAGCGCGCTATTGCAGAGGTTCGTTGTTCGAATCCGGCAGACCTCCCTAATTATCACTGTGAGCGTAATGACGATGCAATACGCGCCATCCCCTTGATGGTGGACGTCAGGAGATCCTGTGACGTCGTTTGAAATGAGCAGCTCATTGTGTGGCTGGTGTCACGGTGCAAATTTGCCAAATTCGAAAATGTACCCACAAATGTTCTTGATCGGGATTACACATAGCAACATCACCCCCTACCATGAATCGTCTGCAGGTCACGTATGGGAAACAGCACCTTTGCAATAGCCGTGCACTACGAGAATGGCGTGAATATCAAATATATTAAATTATTACCACCTAAAAAGCATCCCAATTATTTTACTGCTTACTTTACAAACTTTGTTGTCTAGGCTGTAGAGTGTTTTTGGCCCGCAGTAAAAATTTGCGACGTTACTAATGTCTTACAAATGGATAATTGACAATCTGTAACCTGAACTTAAAGATTTACCAGCATGATTAACTAATCTATTACAAATAAAGCGATGGTCTTTGAAAGGCCAGATTAGGCCTTTGGCTTTACAACATTAATCTAAGTCTTTCTGAACAATCAATTTGTTCCATAATAAAAAATAATAATAATGCATTTTCACTTTAACGCCTTAACCACTTAATCAGCACAATATATTCCATCAGATGGGTTCACTTAACCCTGATAAAATATCTGGGAGAAGGTGCCGTTTCAGTATAATTTCCAAGGTGTGCATAATTTATGTGCATCTGATACAAAACTGCCAGTGTAGTCGGCACATGACAAAACTGCTGTACTTTTTGTTAACCACAAGCGGGAGAACCACCTTCATTAAACCCTTTGTGAGATACCTTCACCGGCAGAGCACGAACAAGAACACGCAGCCCAACACTCGATAGCAACTGCAGACGGGAGTGCTGTCACTTGCACAACCGTACATGTTTTGAGTGTCACCGGCCATGGATTAAAAAAAATCGATGCTCGTCAATTACTCTCCACGTTGTTTCGTAATGCCCGGAACGAGCCGATTGCGCCACCAACCAAAGCGACGACGGCACAAACGCGTCTCGTCGTCCTCCCCCCGTGCTGCGTCGTTCCAAAGTGCCACTCGCTGACCTCCTTCTTGTGCCACCACCTCTCTCGTGAGCCCTTGTCGGTTGGGGAGAGCCGTCCTTCATAAGCGCTTATTTAGGGCCATATTAGTGTAAGTTGAAATGGGCAGAAGAGGAAAGTTATGAGTGGAGGATACAAATTTGGCAACGGTGACTTATAACAAAAAAATATATCCATTGCGGGAAACACCAGCTGGACGTAAAACACGGCGGAGAGACTTGTTTGGGTAATGACCCAACCAGGGCCAGGAAATCCAAGTGCGCTATAACGACGCGAAGCAACCAGAGGGCGCATTGAAGAGGTGGCAACTTGTCGACAGCGATGGCGGGATGCGAGTGCCCCAGCTGATGTGACAATATGACAATTTTACTGGTAGGAGCCTCCTGGTTACACCAACCCACAGGGGATTCTTGTGTCCGTCGTGCAGGGAGGGGCTGGGTGGGGAGGGAGGGGCTGAGTGGGGAGGGTGGGGAGGGGCTGGGTGGCGAGGGTGGGGAGGGGCTGGGTGGGGAGGGTGGGGCTGGGTGGGGGGTCGGAGGGGTGGGGCTGGGTGGGGAGGGGCTGGGTGGGGAGGGGAGGGTGGGGAGGGGCTGGGTGGGGGGTGGGGTTAGGTGAGGAGGGTGGGGCTGGCTGGGTTGTGGGAGGGGTGGGACTGGGTGGGGAGGGGCTGGTCACCCCGTGGTGCCCTTATAAAACTCAACGTTTAACCTACTCACGCCGGCTTGTGCCCGCCCTCACAGTCGGGCATATTTGCGGAATACACCACGCCGCCGTTGACCCTGGCCATTGACCGAGCAACCCAACGTTCCTACCAGCTCCCTCCGCAGGAATGTGTTTTTTATCTGACCTGAGAGCCGGTTCCTGGGCATGATGCCCCTTGGAGCAATGTGTGCACTTGTGGCAATTTCTAGCATTTAGGAATTATACACGTGGAAATCACGACAGCGTCTTTATGAGGGCGATGAGGTTAGCTTAACAATACTCGGATTTATTAAGTTGACTAAGTGTTATTGACATCGTCGTTATCGTCATTATCATTATCAACGCCATTATTCTTGATCTGGTCAGGTGGCACAGTGGTTATAGTGCAACGAGAAGGTTGCAAAGTTACATTTTGTCATCCCTCCAGGTTCGATAGGATGAGCTCTACTCTTTGGGAATCCAACAGTGGATGTAGACCTGTTCCTATCATTTGAATGTGGAATTTCCATACTTATGCTGAATAATGTTCGAAGCAGTGCCCTTTGCTTTCCCTTCTGTCGCAACACAAATCAGGGAAACGCACATACATATACATGCTAAAACATTGTTACTGATTGCTTCATTATAATTACAATGAAAGTGAGTCGGCCACATGGATATAGGAGTTAATTCTCTGTCAGAATATTAAGCTGGCACCACGGAGAAGCTGGGTTCAAATCAGAGGTCGCAAACGGGTTTTGATTCCTTACCCGTACCCGGCCGTACCAGGGTCGTAAACGGGTACCCCTACCCGTACCCGGCCGGGTACGGGTATCGGGTACCTGATTGCGACCTCTGGGATGAAGCCATGTTGCAGGCGCGGGTGGGTTGATTCTAGGAACTTGAATTGTGAGAAGAGACAAGACGTTGGGAAATGAGTGACAAACGGTGACTCACCAGTGACTCACGGTCTACCCTTACCCGTACCCGGCCACACCAGGGTTGCAAACGGGTACCCGTACCCGTACCCGGCCGGGTACGGGTAGCCGGGTATCGGGTAGGGTACGGGTATCGGGTACCTGGTTGCGACCTCTGGTTCAAATCCAGGCAGTTAACTCTGATTCAACTGGGTTCTCAGTGTTGTCAACTGATAGTATCGGTCCATTCACTTGTGTCTGCATTAAACAAAAGCTATTAAATTCGTTTTTTACTTCATTTAGCTTCTTTTTACTCTGTGACTGTAAAACTTCAGTTTAGTTCACTTGTATTCTTGGATCTGTCGGTGAGAATTTTATTTTGTTTTATTTTTATTATTTCCCTTCTACGGGACTTCCAGAATATGAATCCCTGCAGTCACGAAAGCTTTAAATCGAAATTAAGTTCACTTGTGATCAACACTCTTTCCAATGCTAAAATGCTCCCATCATGTGACGAACGTGTTTGTCACGTATCACTTGACACCTTGGAAACCCGCAAGGGATTTCTTTTTCCCTGGAGAAAATAATAAAATAATCTTCTATGTTAATAGATACGCAATAATTTTATAAATTGCGTGTGGGTAACAGCCCCACTGAAGGGACTTTAGAAGTAGTTCTGAGACAGGACCATCATCTGGCTGGCACTGCACACTGCACAGAGTTCCAAATGCAACGTGTACTGCTTCGTGACATGCCATGATGCTCGACTGCAGACGCGACGGCACGAAAAACGGATTCTTATTAAGAAACAACACAAACAGACGACGTGGTGTGACGCCTCCAAAGTAAAAAAATAATTGTGTTTGTTGTATAATTGACATATATTTTGCATTGCATTTCTGTTTTATCCAGGCCACCCCTCGACCCCATTACCCAGGATAATCGAGCGTTGCCTGCAGATAGAAGGGCGTGGTACAAAAATACATGATCCTGACATGGGCAGAACATGTTATGGTTAAGAAGGATGATGATGACCAGTAGTTTTGATTCTAATAACAGTGTTGCGGCCAGCGGAGGGTACATGCTTGAGGGTATGTCGAGTGCAGAGATGGAGCAATAAATCAGCTTGTGTGTGGGCACTAGGACGGATTATTAGTGTATGTCGCACAACCATAAGATCGGGCATTGGCTTGGAGAGACCCTTATTAAGCAGTGGACTATTCACGGTATATATCATAGACTCTATATCATAGAGCCCAATGCATCTCCGACCATGAACACATTTCCAGTGAACTCAAACACGTACGCCAAGCTCTTAAGGCTAATGGTTACTCCGACTACACAATCCGCAAAGCCATCACTCCAACCATCAAGAAGGATCCTGTTCAGGAGCCTTTCAAGACCATCACCTTACCCTACATTGCTGGGGTCACAAAAAAGATCTCCAAAATCCTGATTAAACACAAGATCCAGGTCCGATTCAACACAGTACATAAAATCCGTGATCTGGTCCCGTCTGTAAAAGATGTGGTTCCAGACATACAGTACCCTGGCGTCTACAAACTAAGTTTCCTCTGTGGTAGCAGTTACATTGGGGAAACCAAACGACATGTCTCGGACCGCATCCGTGAACATAAGGCAGACCTGAAACACGGTAGGACAAACACCTCAGCCGTGGCAGATCACTGTTACAATTCAGTGGGCTCACATGACATTGACTTCTCCAAGACAGAGGTTCTCTGCAAGCCATCTGGCTATCATGAGAGATTCGTTCATGAGGCGATCCACATATACAAACACAGAGACAATTTCAACCGAGAAGATGGATTCTGGCTTAGCAATCATTGGAAGGACGTAATAAACCATTTCGGATCTTAACTGATTGTGTTCACGTTTACGGTGACTTTCAGACCGCGTTCCACTCACTGGCATGGTGCAGTGTGCAGAGTAATGTATGGTGTCGTAATTGTATAGTAAACATATAGCAGTGTGATACACATTAGGGTGGGTAGAATAATACATAGTGTTATATTAAAATGGATAAGGCAGCAACTGCAGCAGCAGCAAGTGCAGCAGCAGCAGCAAGTGCAGCAGCAGCAGCAACTGCAGCAGCAGCAGTAACTGCAGCAGCAGCAGAAACTGCAGCAGCAGCAGTAATTTCAGCAGCAGCAGTAACTGCAGCTCCCTTTGATGCTGTTAATCCTGCATAATGCACATGCATATGCAGGACTAATCACATTCCTGCATTTCCCATAAATATGCTAAATTCCTTTTGATATGCAACTTCCTTTGTCAATGCGCCCAGCTTATATATATGCTCCAAGCTCGTGTGCTGTTTCATTCAGACTCTGTCGCCTCGACGGACCTGGTTTTCACCTGAGGACGGCTGCTTGCGTTGTGGCCGAAACGTCGTGAGAATTGTTTTTTTATGTTTTATTTTTATTATTTTATTACTTCCCTTCTACGTGACTTTACCGAAAGAACCAGGAAGACGATGATAATGATTACAAATTAACATTTTTGGGGTTCCATCGCGTAAGTAAAATGTGTTTTGTACAACCTACTCCATCCGACACAGCCAATTAGTCGTCTCGTCATGAACAAACGTGCCAATGTATTCCTGCTTCAGCACACCGGTAACACTGCGGAGCAATACAAAAAATGTACAATTGGGTAGTTGCGACGTTTCTCCAGCAGTCACAATCAGCATCATCAGGCCGTTGCCACAATTGTGTGTATTGCTCTCAAACAACACACAGCTGGTGCCGAGGCAGGAATATATTTTCTACGTTCGTTCACGTCAGCTGGACGGAGGGTGTACAACACACATTTCACTCACGCGACGTGGCCTAAAAAAAAAAGAAAAATCAATTACGAATCACGATACCGGACGCGAAAACCTGCGCCTGTGAGATGAGAATCACGGTGGCGGCGACGACGACGACGACGAAGATGGTTATAACCGTCGTGGTCTCACCAGCAGGTTCTCGGGCTTGACGTCGCGGTGCACCACCAAGTTGGCGTGCAGGTACTGCAGCGCGCGGCACAGGTCGGCCACCATGGCGGCGGCGTGGCGCTCGGTGAAGCGCACGCTCTCCGTGATGGCGTCGAAGAGGTCCCCGCCGCTCACGCGCTCCAGCACCAAGTACGCGTGGCCGGGCGTCTCCAGCGACTCGAGCAGGCGCACCACGTTGGGGTGGTGGCCCAGGCGCGCCGTGAGCGTCACCTCGTTCTCCAGCATCTCCTCGCGCCCGGCCAGCTTGGACTTGTCGACGATCTTCATGGCGAGGTCCCACTCGCCCGGCGTCGTCGAGCGGCCCTCGCTGCCTCCGCCGCCGCCGACGCGCCGCCGGCACTCCTTGACCACGGCGAAGTTGCCGTCGCCGATGGTGCGGCCGATCTCGTAGCGGCTCTCGATGTCCCTGAGCGTCACGACGGGCCGCTGGTTGGCCAGCGGCTTCTTCTGCTTCCTCCTCCTCTCGCTGTCCTTGCTTTTGTGCTTCGGCCTCGCCCTGTCGCGGTCGTCCGCCGAGCTCTCCTCCTGCCTCTGCTGCCTCTGTGCTCTCTTGTCGAAGTCCCCGTTGATGTACTCCTCCGCGCCGTTCTCCTTCTCCGCGAGCCGTCTCCTGTCACCCTCCAACTTGCGCTCGTCCTGCGTTATTTTCAGCTCCTCCTCTTTCCTCCTCCGAGCCTCCTCTTCCTGTCGCAATCGTTCACGGTCGTCCATCACGATCCGCCTGTGCCGGTCTACGTCAGCCTCATTCAGAGTCCTCCTGCCTTGATCCTTCTCCGAATACCTCCTTTCCCTCTTCTTCTCTTCCGACTCCTGCCACCTCCGCTCCCTTTCGAGAAGCGACCTCTCTTGCTCCCTTTCCTCCTCCTCTTTCTTCCGCCTCTTCTGATCCCTCCTCTTCTCCATCTTCTTCACCTCCTCGTCAAGGTCCCAGAGCTTCTCCGGCTTCTTCTCGTCCTCCGCAGGGTGAAGGTCTTCGGGGGACTCCTGCCGCGTGGCCTCCTTCAGCCTCTCCAGCCGCTTCTGCTCCACCTCCTTCTGCTCCCTCTCCCAGCGCTCGCGCTCCCACCGGTGCGCTTTGTCCCTCTCCTCCTGCCTAGCCTTGGCCTTCTGCCTCTCGACGTAATCTCTCTGGGCCACGGCGCCCCGGGGGCTGGAAACCTCTGTCCTGACGTCGTCGTCAAACTCCCCGTCGGGCTGGAGGTGCCCCGTGTCGTGCGACCTGCGTCGTGGCCTCAGCGGCCGCTCGGGGCTCTTCTTGACAAGCGTCTGGGACTTGGGACTATCGCGCACGACCAGCCGCTGCGCGTACGGATTCTCCGGGAACAGCTCCTCCAGGATGCTCTGCACGTCTTCGGACGAGGGCGGCTCTTTCCCCGGCGTGGCCAGGAACACGTCGTCGCCGCGGAAGAAGTCCGAGATCGAACGCGCCTCGCGCCCGCGCAGCGTGAACAGGCGCCGCACGCGCTGGATCCCCAGCGCCTCCGAGATGTCCACCGCCAACTCCTCGAAGCTCTGCACCGAGCGGCGGTTCAGCAGCAAGGTGATGCGGCGGTGCGGGGGGCGGCCGCCGACCCGGACCACGGTCACGACCTTCGGCCTGGCCGCCGCCGCCGCGGCCGCCGCCGCGGCGGCCGCCACCGCCGCGGCCTGGTTCTCGGACTGGCCGTGGAAACTGCGGCGCTGGCTGCGGTCGGCCCTGCGAATTAGCAGTCCCTCGGAGTGACCCTTCCTGGCCCGCTCGGGCGGGCTGTACGACGGGCTGACGTTGGATGTGTCGCGGCTGCTGGGCGGCAGGGGAGACGGTGCCCGCATGCCGTTGGTTGCGCGCCGCGTGTCGCTGGTGCCATTCTCGATGGCGAGACAGGAGCTGTCGCTGTACCGCTCCTCCAGAGGGCATCTCTGTCCTACGATGCGCACGCACACGCACGAGATTGTGGAAGTACAGATCTGCTCTACGCAACGTTTTCATGTGTTTTGTACAGGAGGAGCGGTGGTGCATTAGTGAGCACACTGCAACAGCAACCCAGAGACCTGAATTCCATTCCCGGCCATGGGTAACATCAGCGGTGAGCGATGTCTGAACCAATCCTGGGCCCCAACTGCACCGACCCACACTCACCAGCGTGGTGAAGTATGGTCAAACGATAACCTAGATGACCGACATGGAGTGGGGAGGCCTGCATATTGCAGCGGATGGACAAAAGACCATGAATCATCATTATTAATAGAGACCTCGTGGCTGATATTATACTCTTTACAATATAATTACAATTTTAGGCAATCTAATTTCGGCCACATGTCCAGATGAATTATATCAGTGAGAAATTAATTGTTCGAAAAGGTCAAGTGAAAAGGATGAGTAGGAAGGCTTGTAATAAAGTTGGAACTGTTATTCATTAGTTTTGACAAAGACGAGCAGTTACTATAGGAATAAGATTGACACAAATGGCGATTATAATTGCAGGCAGTTCGTCACAAGCAGATGAGAGAAGGTAAGTCTCAAGCAAGGACTTGAATCGGAGAAATCTAAAAATCGCTCGCGATTTGCTTGAACATGGCAGATAATGAGATATGTAAACAGATTGTTTGTCTTTGGAGTCATTATCTGATGGTTCTGAAATCAAAGAAAAAATCTAAGTGAAATGTTAAGAACTCTTTAGTTGGCATATGTGCATTTGACTTTAGTCAAAGCCCACACTGGGAGCCTTGGGGAGTGGTGGGGCAGCGGTTAGCACGCTACGCTCCGAACCCGGCGACCCGGGTTCAATTCCCGCTCACGGCCAACACCAGTGATGATTGTCTGAACCGGACCTGGGTCTCCCTTAGGTCGACTCAACCTCAAATGAGTACCTGGTGCAGTGTCTAATAAACATCTCCACTTGAGAGACTTCGCCACTAAGTGGTGGCCACCCACCCCCTCGTGTGCCGTACCGGCCTTCACAGGTGCTTGCTAACAGTACTTTCACCAACAGCCTGTAAAGGCTACAGGGCGATCTTTTTAATAAACCCTCATCTGATTGTTCTGAAATAAAATAAAATCTAAGTGAAATGCTAAGAGCAGTTCTGTTGGCATGTGTGCACCCAACTCGAGTGAAAGCCCCCACACTGGGAGCCTAGCTTGGCATAGGAAGAGCGATTAATGTTAACGAGCAACGTTTGATTAATTTCGTTCCAATTCTTTGTTAAAATAAAAGATGTCGCAGCTACAAACGTTACCACAATGCAATAACTCGAGATTACAGTATTTGCAGTTCACGTGTGTGTTTACCAATGTGCATATTTTTTCGCAATCAAATATTCCACAATGTAACAAAAACAGCGTTTTATATGTACTGATGTTGCCATGGTATTTACTGAATAATAATAATAATCATAATTCACAGCCCTTTGTCAGTGATTCCGTGCTAAATGAAGGCCTCTCCGTGCTGTGGCGGTTGTCGGGGTTGTGTCACCACGCCGGGCGGTGTGAATTGGTGAAACAGGATGGTGTTGGAAACCCACGACCAGTTCAGCTGTAACTCGCCACTGATGTCAGCCGTGGCCAGGAATCAGGAAATCAAACTCAGGTCGCCGGGTTCACATGGCAGTGTGCTAACGACTGTGCCACCATTCTAACATAGCAATTTGATCCGGGCACCATGGTGACGAGATGTTAACAACTCGCCTGGTATCCAGGAGGGCGTATATCTGATGTTTGCATGTTCTCCCCGTGGTCGCGTGGATTTTTTTGGGGTTTCCCCTCTACATTAAAAAACATGCGTTTAGAGTATTTGGCTGCTACACATTTCCACGTGATAATCCACTTCCTTGAGCTATCATTTGTGGCCAGATCGCTTCTGAAAAAGAGCTATGTAGCTCATTGGGCCTTATCTGGTCAAATACAAATGTATGAGATTAGATAATCTGGGTTAATAATACCTTCCGAGCCAGCACTTTTACGAGAAGATGGTTTCTTAATTTCCTTATCAGCTGATGTCATCATTTGTAATGCAGGTAAACCACATGTGGGTCTGTCCTGTGTTCCATTCACAAGGGTTGCCACCTCTCATATATCAAGGGAATTCAAATATCTCACAATACCAAAATAGGGGATAACTGCATATCACGCAACTTACAAAACCCGGGACTCTTAATTTATCTGGAAGACTTATACATTTCCCTGGACAGTTAACTAAAACAACAAGAGGACGATCCTGGGAAATCCAGGACAGGTGGGAACGCTATCAACAACAGAGCAATTTGATCCGAGTGTTAGAAAATGGGTTTAGACAATCTTCAGCGGTGATGGGGCATTTGGTCTGCCCTGCACAAATCTGTTTAAGCCACAACAAGCGGCTGACTGCTCATTTCAAAGCCAGCTTGACCTGCTGGGGATAAACGTGGGTTACCCACAGTTTGGCCCACCCAATCCACGATCAATAGACCTCTTGAAGTGGTTCAATTCATTGTCTGGCTGTATACATACGTCACTGTAAAATCATTACGTGCTCATTAAATCTCTCAATTGAAATTTCAATTAGACTGGTACAATGGTGGTGTGGAGCAGTGGCAGTAGTGGTTAAGAGCAGTGACGCTAGGAACCTGGCGACCTGAGTTCGATTTCCGACCACGGCTAACATCAGTGGCGAGTGATATTCGAGACCAGTCCGGGCATCCCCCCTAACTTCAACAATCTGCACTGATCGGCGTGGCCAAAATAACCCCCCTTCCAACTCCATGACCGAGGCACGCGTCTCGAAGCGGACTGATAAAGGGCTGAATAATAAATGTATATGAAATACACTTTAGGCAGGTCTGGCATTTAAATCTGCTCAAATAAGGCATCACAAAGCTTCGTTTTGTGACGCCTTTTTTTGTCCCCATAAATAAACAATGCAGTTCAAATATATATATATATATATAATGTGATGATTGCGTGATTACAAATTACATGTGGATGTTACGGTATCATGCCAATCAAGGAACCATCCCAAGAAGGACGGTGCATAAGCGCCAACACACACACACATCATCACCACCGCCCACACAACGCTCCCTCCCCCCGTCTCTCTGCATTCAAGCTATTTCCCCTCTGATAATAATAATAGCGCGGCAAGCAGCCCTCGTCTCTGAATCCGCATTCATATTCCCCGGCGTTCCTATTTGTTTAAACACATTGCACCCCGAGCATGCGCGCGTACACTGGCTCCAGCAAGCATCGCTTTAAAAAAAAAAACACTGTGCATTCAATTTCCCATACATACGTTACCTCCCCCCCCCCCCCCCCCCCCCCCTTTGCATCTGTTCAGAGTCATCTCTGAGCCACGATCAATCCACTGCTGGATGAAGACAATCCACCATCTCTCGCTGTTCCGCTCCAAAGAAATCCCGCGGAGCGAGGCACGCGAACCCTTTCCCATCGCTCCGTCTCCCTCGGTGGACGCCCTCCGTCTCCGACGCGTATCGATTTGCCTGGCCGGCCACTCGGATTTGTTTGGAATAAACGATGGGAAGCATTGGCGCCAATTCCACACCGAGCATTGCTAATTCTCGGCACTTAGGGCGATGATTCCAAAACGTCATCCACGTCAAACGGCATCAGAAGGCGCCCCGTCAACGGCAACACGACCAGCATTGCAATCGCTACAACCCGCACAACACGGATACAGTATATAGATATACGCACAGAAATGTATACGGCATATATACATTTCGATTCGGTTAGCCTTTGAATTGCGTGGAGCCCGATGTGAAAAATCAAATATCAGTGTAGCACTTACTCTGTTTGCCCCAGATGTAGCGCTTGAAGCTGACTTCGCTGACACACGCCTGGTACACTCTGTGAATCATGATTCACACCTACCGCTCTTCACGCGGCAACAGCAGCCATATCAGCAGCACACAGAGCCGCACACAGCCTCGCTACGCACAGCTCGAAGCAAGCCGCTATATCTCTATCACCAGCACGATCGTCATCACCACCACCACCACCTCCACGCTGCCTCTATGCTACAGCAAGCGTAGAAGAGACGCGCGCAAACATATCGCATCCAGCCGTTGCGTGAGAACATCCAGAATTCTGCAGCTCTTCCGTGCGGGTGTCGCTGTAAGTCCAGCTAATGATGGTGATGCTGCTCCTGCTGCTGCTAATGCTGTCCTCCTCCGACATTCCGTGAGCTTCTCCCGTGTCTGTCCGTCTCACCGTCGGTCGCTCTCGCCGACTATGTGTCTGCGTGTCTCACTGACGACGAACTGCGCGGCCGTCCGTCTCGTTGACTGGCTTGCCAACCGCATGTCTGGCGACCTGACTTGGCGACTTTACAGCCCGTCTCACTGACTGGCTCACTGCCTGCCTGCCTGCCTCACTGACTGACTGTCTTCTAACCTGTTGAGTAAGCGTAGGTGTGCTGTAAGCTCGTGGAAGGCGCGAGTGAGCTTTGGGGTTTTTTTGCTGCTTCCTTTTTCACGCGTGGCTCCACCGCAAGCGGACGAGACCAATAACATTCCGAGCGGGTGTGGCTTCTTGCGCTTGTCGAGAGACATTTAAATTCAGCTTGATTTTTTTATTACTATTTTTATTATTTGCTGCTGCTGCTGCTACACCGCGCCAGGAAATGATCTCGTCAGAAGACAACATCGCAGGGAACGGAGCCATTATTGTGTCCGCACGCTGGTGTCGATGATGATCGTTGTGATTGTCTTCATCAATCCGCTGCTGGATGAGTCAAAACAACCACTTGCTGGATGGGACACTCATACCAGTGCTGGATGAGTCAATCGACTGCTGGATGAATCATACCAACCACTTGCTGGATGGGACACTCCATCCCATGCTGGATGAGTCAATCCACTGCTGGATGAGTCAACCCACCACTTGCTGGATGGGACACTCCATCCCATGCTGGATGAGTCAATCGACTGCTGG